GTGAGTACACATTTACATTCACTACCACCAGCAGTAGTAGTGAATTAGTGAGTACACATTCACTACCACCAGCAGCAGCAGTAGTAGTGAATTAGTGAGTACACATTCACATTCACCACCAGTAGTAGTGAATTAGTGAGTACACATTCACTACCACCAGCAGCAGCAGTGAATTAGTGAGTACACATTCACTACCACCAGCAGCAGCAGTAGTAGTAGTGAATTAGTGAGTACACATTCACATTCACCAGTGAATTAGTGAGTACACATTCACTACCACCAGCAGCAGTAGTAGTAGTGAATTAGTGAGTACACATTCACATTCACCAGTGAATTAGTGAGTACACATTCACTACCACCACCACCAGCAGTAGTAGTAGTGAATTAGTGAGTACACATTCACATTCACTACCACCAGCAGCAGTAGTAGTAGTGAATTAGTGAGTACACATTCACTACCACCAGCAGTAGTGAATTAGTGAGTCCACATTCACTACCACCACCAGCAGCAGTAGTAGTGAATTAGTGACTACACATTCACCACCACCAGTAGTAGTAGTGAATTAGTGAGTACACATTCACCACCAGCAGTAGTAGTGAATTAGTGAGTACACATTCACATTCACTACCAGCAGTAGTAGTGAATTAGTGAGTACACAATCACCACCAGCAGCAGTAGTGAATTAGTGAGTACACATTCACCACCAGCAGCAGTAGTAGTAGTGAATTGGTGAGTACACATTCACTACCAGCAGCAGTAGTAGTAGTGAATTAGTGAGTACACATTCACCACCAGCAGTAGTAGTGAATTAGTGAGTACACATTCACTACCACCAGTGAATTAGTGAGTACACATTCACTACCACCACCAGCAGCAGCAGTAGTAGTAGTGAATTCGTGAGTACACATTCACTACCAGCAGCAGTAGTGAATTAGTGACAACACAATCACTACCACCAGTGAATTAGTGAGGTCACATTCACTACCACCAGCTGTAGTGAATTAGTGAGGTCACATTCACCACCACCACCAGCTGTAGTGAATTAGTGAGTACACATTCACTACCACCAGCAGCTGTAGTGAATTAGTGAGTACACATTCACTACCACCACCAGCAGCAGCAGTAGTAGTGAATTCGTGAGTACACATTCACCAGCAGCAGCAGTAGTAGTAGTGAATTAGTGAGTACACATTCACTACCACCAGCAGTAGTAGTGAATTAGTGAGTACACATTCACATTCACTACCACCAGCAGTAGTAGTAGTGAATTAGTGAGTACACATTCACTACCACCAGCAGTAGTAGTAGTGAATTAGTGAGTACACATTCACTACCACCAGCAGCAGTAGTAGTAGTGAATTAGTGAGTACACATTCACATTCACTACCACCAGCAGCAGTAGTAGTAGTGAATTCGTGAGTACACATTCACTACCACCAGCAGTAGTAGTATTGAATTAGTGAGTACACATTCACTACCACCACCAGCAGTAGTAGTAGTGAATTAGTGAGTACACATTCACTACCACCACCAGCAGTAGTAGTAGTGAATTCGTGAGTACACATTCACCACCACCAGCAGCAGTAGTAGTAGTGAATTAGTGAGTACACATCCACCACCAGCAGCAGTAGTAGTAGTGAATTAGTGAGTACACATTCACATTCACCAGCAGTAGTAGTAGTGAATTAGTGAGTACACATTCACATTCACTACCAGCAGTAGCTGTAGTGAATTAGTGAGTACACATCCACCACCAGCAGCAGTAGTAGTAGTGAATTCGTGAGTACACATTCACCACCACCACCGGCAGCAGTAGTAGTAGTGAATTAGTGAGTACACATTCACCACCAGCAGTAGTAGTAGTGAATTAGTGAGTACACATTCACCACCAGCAGTAGTAGTGAATTAGTGAGTACACATTCACATTCACTACCAGCAGTAGTAGTAGTGAATTAGTGAGTACACAATCACCACCACCAGTAGTAGTGAATTAGTGAGTACACATTCACTACCACCAGCAGCTGTAGTGAATGAGTGAGTCCACATTCACTACCACCACCAGCTGTAGTGAATGAGTGAGTCCACATTCACTACCACCAGCAGCTGTAGTGAATTAGTGAGTCCACATTCACTACCACCAGCAGCTGTAGTGAATTAGTGAGTCCACATTCACTACCACCAGCTGTAGTGAATTAGTGTGTCCACATTCACTACCACCAGCAGCTGTAGTGAATTAGTGAGTCCACATTCACTACCACCAGCTGTAGTGAATTAGTGAGTCCACATTCACTACCACCACCAGCTGTAGTGAATTAGTGAGTCCACATTCACTACCACCAGCAGCTGTAGTGAATTAGTGAGTCCACATTCACCACCAGCAGCTGTAGTGAATTAGTGAGTCCACATACACTACCACCACCAACTGTAGTGAATTAGTGAGTCCACATTCACCACCACCACCAGCTGTAGTGAATTAGTGAGTCCACATTCACTACCACCAGCAGCTGTAGTGAATTAGTGAGTCCACATTCACTACTACCACCAGCTGTAGTGAATTAGTGAGTCCACATTCACTACCACCACCAGCTGTAGTGAATTAGTGAGTCCACATTCACTACCACCAGCTGTAGTGAATTAGTGAGTCCACAATCACCACCAGCTGTGGTGAATTAGTGAGTCCACATTCACTACCACCACCAGCTGTAGTGAATTAGTGAGTCCACATTCACTACCACCAGCAGCTATAGTGAATTAGTGAGTCCACATTCACTACCACCAGCAGCTGTAGTGAATGAGTGAGTCCACATTCACTACCACCAGCAGCTGTAGTGAATTAGTGAGTCCACATTCACTATCACCAGCAGCTGTAGTGAATGAGTGAGTCCACATTCACTACCACCAGCAGTAGCAGTAGTAGTGAATTAGTGAGTACACATTCACCACCACCAGCAGTAGCAGTAGTAGTGAATTAGTGAGTACACATTCACCACCACCAGCAGCAGCAGTAGTGAATTAGTGAGTACACATTCACCACCAGCAGTAGCAGTAGTAGTGAATTAGTGAGTACACATTCACCACCACCAGCAGTAGCAGTAGTAGTGAATTAGTGAGTACACATTCACCACCACCAGCAGCAGCAGTAGTAGTGAATTAGTGAGTACACATTCACATTCACCACCAGCAGCAGTAGTAGTAGTGAATTAGTGAGTACACATTCACCAGCAGCTGTAGTGAATTAGTGAGTACACATTCACTACCACCAGCAGCAGTAGAAGTGAATTAGTGAGTACACATTCACATCCACCACCAGCAGCAGCAGTAGTAGTGAATTAGTGAGTACACATTCACTACCACCACCAGCAGCAGTAGTAGTGAATTAGTGAGTACACATTCACTACCACCACCAGCAGCAGTAGTAGTAGTAGTGAATTAGTGAGTACACATTCACTACCACCAGCAGCAGTAGTAGTGAATTAGTGAGTACACAATCACCACCAGCAGCAGCAGCAGTAGTGAATTAGTGAGTACACATTCACTACCACCAGCAGCAGTAGTAGTAGTTAATTAGTGAGTACACAATCACCACCACCAGCAGTAGTAGTAGTGAATTAGTGAGTACACATTCACTACCACCACCAGCAGCAGTAGTGAATTAGGGTGTACACATTCACATCCACCACCAGTGAAATAGTGAGTACACATTCACCACCAGCAGCAGTAGTAGTAGTGAATTAGTGAGTACACATTCACTACCACCAGCAGCAGTTGTGAATTAGTGAGTACACATTCACATCCACCACCAGTGAAATAGTGAGTACACATTCACCACCAGCAGCAGTAGTAGTAGTGAATTAGTGAGTACACATTCACCAGCAGCAGTAGTAGTAGTAGTGAATTAGTGAGTACACATTCACTACCACCACCAGCAGCAGTAGTAGTGAATTAGTGAGTACACATTCACTACCACCAGCAGTAGTGAATTGGTGAGTACACATTCACTACCACCAGCAGCAGCAGTAGTAGTAGTGAATTAGTGAGTACACATTCACTACCACCAGCAGCAGCAGTAGTAGTGAATTAGTGAGTCCACATTCACCACCAGCAGCAGTAGTAGTAGTGAATTTGTGAGTCCACATTCACTACCACCACCAGCTGTAGTGAATTAGTGAGTCCACATTCACCACCAGCTGTAGTGAATTAGTGAGTCCACATTCACCACCACCAGCTGTAGTGAATGAATGAGTCCACATTCACTACCACCAGCAGTAGTGAATTAGTGAGTCCACATTCACCACCACCAGCAGCAGTAGTAGTAGTGAATTAGTGAGTCCACATTCACCACCAGCAGCTGTAGTGAATTAGTGAGTCCACATTCACCACCACCAGCTGTAGTGAATTAGTGAGTCCACATTCACCACTACCACCAGCTGTAGTGAATTAGTGAGGTCACATTCACTACCACCAGCTGTAGTGAATTAGTGAGGTCACATTCACTACCACCAGCTGTAGTGAATTAGTGAGTCCACATTCACTACCACCACTAGCTGTAGTGAATTAGTGAGTCCACATTCACCACCACCAGCAGCTGTAGTGAATTAGTGAGTACACATTCACATTCACTACCACCAGCAGCAGTAGTAGTAGTGAATTAGTGAGTACACATTCACTACCACCAGCAGTAGTGAATTAGTGAGTCCACATTCACTACCACCACCAGCAGCAGTAGTAGTGAATTAGTGACTACACATTCACCACCACCAGTAGTAGTAGTGAATTAGTGAGTACACATTCACCACCAGCAGTAGTAGTGAATTAGTGAGTACACATTCACATTCACTACCAGCAGTAGTAGTAGTGAATTAGTGAGTACACAATCACCACCAGCAGCAGCAGTAGTGAATTAGTGAGTACACATTCACCACCAGCAGCAGTAGTAGTAGTGAATTGGTGAGTACACATTCACTACCAGCAGCAGTAGTAGTAGTGAATTAGTGAGTAC